CCCCCCGACCTCAACACTCACACCGCAGGACGCGCTGCCGTCGGCCCGATTCAACGCCATCGCCCGCCTCATAGCCGCCCTGGCTGCGCTGGAGGCCGGAGAGGGCCGGCCCCTGCAGCTGACCCTGGCAGAGGACGCGGCCTTTGCGGCAGTGGCGGGCGCGGCCGGCTCGGCGGCGCCGCCGGCGAGCTCGGGGCTGCTGGAGGCGCGCGCCCTCATCCATGTCGCGACGCGCCTGGCTGCCGTTGAGGAGCGGCTGTATGCGCAGGCCGGCGCCGCAGTCGGCGCACTCGTTGCACTGCCTGCGCTCGCGGGGCTGGCGCGGCACAGGAACGGCGGCGGCGGCGGCGGCGGCTGCGGCGGCGGCGACCTTGAAGCCGCCCTGCGGGGAGCAGCAGCGGCGCTCGCCGCCGCCTCGGACGCACTGCAGGAGCGCGCCACAGCGTGCCTGGCGGCCGCGGAAGCGGCGGGCGGCGTCGCGCCCCCTGCGCACGGCTGCGGCGCCGCGGGCGGGGGGGCGGTCGCCGGGCTGCTGTCCTCTGCGGCCTGGGGCTTCCACGTTGCGGCGGCGCTGCTGCGGCCGTACCACAACCGACTCCAGGTCATGCAGGAGCAGCTCGGAGGAAGCTTCCTCCCCGGCTCCGCCGCGAGCCTCCAGCAAACGCTGCCGCTCATCGGGGCCGGCGTGGCGGAGGTGCAGCTGCACCTGCAGCAGCTGCTCTTCGAGTGCCGCGGGAGGCATGTGCAGTATGCACAGTGGGCCGGGGCAGAGCTGCAGGCGGCCGAGCTGCAGCAGGCCTCGCAGCAGCAGCAGCAGCAGCAGCAGCAGCAGCAGCAGCAGCAGCAGCAGCAGCAGCAGCAGCAGCAACAGCGGCGGCAGCCACCGCCGCCGCCAGGCGGCCTTGGTGTGAGCAGCAGGCGCAAGGAGAGCCCGGGCACTGGTGGTCGTGCGGTGAATCGAAGAGCCGACAGCAATACGTCCGTCCCACAGACAGAAGCTGAAAGAGTAGCGACGAGCCGCAGCAGCTTCCCTTCTGCAGCACTGCCGGTGCAGCCCCCACGCCCGGCTCCTGCTGCCCCCAGGCGCCCAATGGCGGTGCTGTCGCCGGCGGCGCCCGCCTTCGTGCCAGGGAGTGGCAGGCCCGCGGCGCTGTCAGTTGGCGCGGCACCGTTCGTCCCCGGCATACGGCGGGCGGTGCAGGGAGGCGTGGGCGGGGAAAACCAGGGGGGTCACGCTTCCGAGTCCAGCACAAAGCATCTGGCCACCTCCCTGTCAGACACAGCTGGGCCCGCAAGGCCTCAGCAGCATCAGATGCCAGCAGGTCCCATACAAGCAAGCGCGGCAGCGACGGGGCTGCTGCAAGCAACGGGGCACGCGGCAGAGGAGCGCCAGCAGAGGGAGCCTGTGGCAGGCGCGGCGGCGCAAACGCCATGCATGGCGGAAAGCAACCAGTACCGCAAGGAAGAGGCGGCAGAGGCGGCAGAGGCGGCAGAGGTGGCGGGGGAGGCAGAGGAGAAGGTGCAGGAACAAATCACGGCAGTCGGGGCAGAGGAGCCAGAGGTGACGGTCAGCAGGTGTGAGGGTCCAGAGGGGCAAGCAGGACAACAGACGGCACGAACAGAGCGGGGGGCCGCAGAGGCAGAGGCAGCAGAGGCAGAGGCAGCAGAGGCAGCAGAGGCAGCAGAGGCAGCAGAGGCAGCAGAGGCAGCAGAGGCAGCAGAGGCAGCAGAGGCAGCAGAGGCAGCAGAGGCAGCAGAGGCAGCAGAGGCAGCAGAGGCAGCAGAGGCACCTGGTGACGCAGCGACGGGCGGCGCAGCAGGGGCGGCAGACGCGGCGAGCGCAGCAGGTGCAGAAGTGGCGGAGCAAGGGCACGCGCCAGAGCGTGCTGCAGGTGGGGAGGAGGGCGGGGCCGAGCGCCAGCAGTCGGGAGGTCCCCACCCGATGGGCGACGCAGCGAGCGGTGACGCGGCGGCCACCGGCGCAGCGGTGGGGGAAGGGGCTGGCGGCATCAAGGCGGAGGCGTCCGGCGACCTGGCGGCCCTGGCGGGCGTGCCAGACAGCTGGGAGCAGCTGGCTGCTGGGGGTGATACTGACGAGGAGCAGGGACAGCAGGAGCAACAGCTGGAGCAGCAGGAGGCGGGGCGGGAGGAGCAGCGGGAGAAGCAGGAGGATCAAGAGCAGCAAGAGCAGCAAGAGCAGCAAGAGCAGCAAGAGCAGCAAGAGCAGCAAGAGCAGCAAGAGCAGCAAGAGCAGCAAGAGCAGCAAGAGCAGCAAGAGCAGCAAGAGCAGCAAGAGCAGCAAGAGCAGCAGGAGCAACATGAGGAGCAGATGGGACGGGAGGAGCGAGTGGTGCGCAACCAGGAACGACAAGGGCAGGAGCAGCTGGCGACACTGCTGCCCCAAGTGCTGGCTAGTGCAACGGGCTCAGCAGCGCCCACTCACACGCCGCCACTAGGCAAGCCAGAGGAGAGCGCACCCGTGGCACTCGCCGCGCCAGACGCGCCAAAGTCGCGTGGAGACGCGGCGCCTGGCTGTGCGAGGCCCGCCGACCAGAGTGGGCGGGCTGTGGCGTGGCAGCAGGGCAGCCCCGGCTCCACCATAGCAAAGCTTTGGCCTGGAGCGCAGCGCCAGGCTGGCGCGGCGGGCGCAAGGGGCAGCAGTGACGGCAGCGGCGGCCGTGGCGACACGGCTGGCGGCAGTGACGCCGGCCGCGGCGCCGGGGCCGCGCGTAGGGACCAAGGGGCGGGGGCGGCGATTGCCGTGGCGGACTACCGAGCAGAGCATGCTGCATATTGGCGGAGGGCGGCGGCCAGGCGGCAGGCCCCAACCTGAGTGGTTGGCAGGCGGAGCGTGGGCCCAGGCCAGGCCGTGGCAGTGTGTGCACAAGTGGGATCAGGCCTAATTGTGATATGCTTGTTCACAGACCGTTTGGCCTCGGCCACGCTGCACCGCGTGTGTGGAGGCGGTAACAATGGAGCGTGCACACAGCCTCGGCATTTCCGATTCAGATGCGCCTCTCTTACACACCTTGCATCAATCCACCCCTGCTCAAGTCCTGGCCCGCTGTGAGGCGTGACAGCGTGCCAAAATGTCATATGAATCATAGCGCAGTACCCCTCGGCAGTTCAGAGGCTCTCTTCCTCTCAGCAGCAGCAGCTCTCAGCAGCAGCCCAGGGCAGGCAACACACCACAATAAACAAACAAAGACCACTCATCCTCTACAACAGCACCAAACGAACGGCAGCACAGGCAGCAAAGCCTCGGGCGGCGCAACCCTGTCAACGGAGACGTTAAGGGAGGCCCGCCGACAGCGCGTCCCGCGCCACCTGCAGTGCCTCCTGCAGCTTTGACGCGTCCTTCCCGCCCGCCTGCGCCAGCGCCGGCTTCCCGCCGCCGCCCCCGCCGCACACCTTAGCCACGACCCCCACCACCTTGCCCGCCTGGAGCCCGCCCTTGACCACGGCGGGGCTGAGGGCGCACACAAAGTTGGCCTTGCCGTCGGCGGCGCTGGTGGCCAGCAGGACGGCGGCGGGGTCGCCGAGGGCGGCGAGCAGGCTGGTGGCGGCCTCCTGCATGGCCTTGGCGTCGACGCCGTCCAGCTCAGCGACCAGCAGCTTGGCGCCGCCGGGGGTGGAGACGGCCTGGCTGATCAGGGCCTGGGTGGGGGGGAGGCGGGCGGGGAAGGCGTGGGTGCGTGTGCGCACGCGTTCGTGTAGGG